TAATATTTCTACATTAATGTAAATTGAAAGCCACATAATATACTTCTTTTAAATTAACATCTTAAATGTTAAACCAAGAATCAAGCAGTAAAACATTCCGTGCATAAAAATCATGATCTCAAGTTCTTTCATTTTTTTCCCCAAGAGTGGAAAATAGATACTATGTAGGAAAGCTGAAATACGCTAATTTTTTACATTAAAAGTTTAATATTATCAGAACTCAGTCCAAAGAGTAAATAATGTTACAATAATTACATTGAAATTAATATAAAGTAGAACTTACTACTGGAATGCAATTTATTAAACATATCATTTCCTCTTAAAACTGCTTGATGGTTAATCAGCAATGTATCATTTAGCAGCTGTAAAACTCTTTTTTTTCTTTTTTCTTTTTTTAAAGTTTTTTGCCATAAGAAATGTGTACTTGGCAGAGAGGGACTGTGAGAGAGAAAGTGAGAAAGCACTCACCAGGGGATATTTCTATCCTTTCCTGTTCATTATCCACCTGGTATTTTCAACATGCACACACACGTGCCTGGAGTGAATTTTCAAGCAGCCATGTCCAGGACTTGAACCACGAATTAATATGTGGGAGTTCAGCACATTAACCACTTCACTACATGCTGGCCCCACTATATAACTTGTATTTGAGAGACACATGTTTTACAAGGTGCATGCAGTCACCAGAGCACAAAGAGAGAGATATAGAAAGAATGTGAGAAATTATCCTTCTGGGGTGAAACCGCACTGCTATCCCTCTTCCTTCATTCTCCTTTCACTATTATGGGCACACATGCACACACAACCAGTATGAGTTTAAGATGCTGCGTTCAGGACTGAAACCATGGTTAACCATGTGAGAATCTAGCACCTAGCCACTATGCCACCTGTTGGCCCCACAACTTTTTAAGTGTATAGATTACCAACTTAAAGTACTGCAAGCAACAATCACTTTGTTTTATTGAGTATCTTTTGTTTTTTTTCTTCATGTAATTGTACTCTGGTTTGTGTCTCTAGACAGTTTCTACACATTCAGGTCAAATCTTCAGCAAGTTTGTAAATTTAAATTATGAAAAGGGTATGATAAAATTTTCTGGAATGGAAAAATTAAAAATATGGGCCACATCAGATCAACACAAATTTAACACATCAAGACACTCCAGAAAGCAGAAATTCCAGCTAGCAGAAACAAAGATAGAATACGGGACCATTAGAATGTGGGACCATCAGATAGCATAATGGTTTTGTCACTGGACAAAACCAGTGAGTTCCTGATTCACTGTCATTTTTTTTTTTTTTTTTTGTAAATTTTTGAGAGCTTTTTGCTATAGGATACGAGCTCTGCCAGAAAGAGAAAAATCACCCCCATGGGGGGATGGCCACACTGCAATCCCTACTCCTCCATTCTCTTCTTGGAATATTGGACAGGCACGCACATGTGCCCAGTGTGAGTTTAAGCCAGAACTCAAACCATGGGCGACTACATGAGAGTCCAGCGACTGAGTCATTATGCCATCTTTTGGTCCCATTGACTTAGTGTCTTAAACCTCAAGCTGGGTGCATGTATATTCATGCCAAAAATCCCTAGAGAAGAGTTATTACTCAGTATCTTTCTCTCTGTCTCTCCTATGAGAATATATATACCCTATAGTTAAAAATAAACTATTGAAAAAGATTAGAGTAAATATAAATATGAGATATTTAAAACCATGCAGAGAACTAGTGTAAGCACTAGCTAGTTTTATTATTATTTTATCAACAAACTTACTAAACATTAGGTAGGTCTTAAAAAAGGGAGAGAAGATACAAATCAATAAATCAGACATGAAAATAAAGACATTATTTCTGACTACACACACACACACAAAAGCTTTCTAGGAGGACACAATAGTTGCTAGTTAATAAAATTTTACAATTAATCAATACACATAATGTAAAACTACCCAATAATCTAAGATATCATTCATAGTTGCAGGTTTAATACCTGCTTAAAATTTATATACAAAATGACTGTTTTAAGAATAAATTGAAAAAGTCAGTCATTTTCAGTTTTTTTTATCATCTAAGGTTATTAAATCAGGATGCATTTTTTTCTTCAAACCCTAAAATAGTGATACAGGCTTATGAGATAAACCCTTAGAATGCCTGTTTAATTTGGAACCCCTTCTGGTTTTTAAAGCTTTCCAGGAGTTCTCATTGGGTCTTATCAAAATAATGTAGCACTTGGGCATAAAGATGCAGCCTAGGAGCCCTGCACTGGAGGCCAAGATGGAGAAGACCTCCACGGCCACCATGAACTTGCCCTTGGTGCTGTGATAGACAGGGACAAATGTGACCCAGACACTGCAGAACACCAGCATGCTGAATGTGGGGAACTTGGCTTCATTGAATGTGTCAGGCAGGTTCCTGGCCAGGAAAGCCACAGTAAAGCTCCCCAGAGCCAAGAAGCCCAGGTAACCCAGGACACAGTAGAAGGCAGTGACTGAGCCCTTGTTGCACATGATTATGAGGTTTTTGGGCTCAGAACATGAGTCTATGTCAACAAAAGGGGGAGAGGTTCCCAGCCAGATTCCACAGATAATCATTTGGAATATAGAGCAAATGGGAATGACAGAGTTGGAAGCACCTGAGAGGAGCAAGTACATCATGGTTCTTCCAGGCTTTATGGCCTTGAATGCCAGAATCACACTAATGGTTTTGGCCAAAGTGGTGGATGGCCACAGTGAACACAAGGGCCAAATGCAACTTGGAGGACACAGGTGGATGCATTAGGATAGCCAATGAAGAGCAAGGAGCAGAGGAAGCATGGCAGGGGGAAGATGAGCAGAAAGAAGCTGAGAGCCTGGTTGTTGGCCTTGACAAAGACCCCCAAAACTACAGCTGTGAGAACAAAGAAGCATAGAACTATGCAGGCCATAGCTGTCCCCAAAGCATCCTCAAAAGTCAGGAATATCACAGTCTTTGGAAGGCAGTGAGTTCTCTCACTGTTTGGATACTCTTGAAAAGGACACTGGATACACTGCTTTACATCTGGTTAAAAAGTAAAGGTCCAGCAAGTCAATTTCACTAATTGTTTGTCATGTAGAAGCTAAAGGTCCCTTTTGTGTAATTTTGCACAGATTAAGCCCCTGAGGTAATACCAAAATACACCAAATCCTGAGGTAATACCAGGATACACCAAATTAAGAGCCCTTGTTCATGACACTGGGAGAATTTTTTTATCTGTGGATAACAACAAAGTGATTTGAAACTGGGTCTTAAGCATATGAGGATATTGGGTGGCCCATCTTGTGGCTCTCAGTGATGTTCTCAAGGATGAGAATTTATTCCAGATCTTTACTCTCTCCTGAGTTTTTCTTTTCTTTTTTTTTTCTTTCTTTTTTTTTTTTGGAGAAGTTTTTGCTATAGGGTGAGTGCACTCACCAGAAAGAGAGAGACAGAAAGACAGAAAGCGAGATATCACCCCCCAGGGTGAATGGCCACACTGCAATCCCTTCTGTTCCATTCTCCTCTCAGGATCTTGGGAGTCGACTACATTGCACCCTGCCTAAATTTAAGCCACCGGATCCGGAACTCGAACTGCAGTCGACTACATGGGAGTCGAGTGACATAGCCATTACGCTAACTCCTGTTCCCCTGAGTTTTCATTTTGATAAGTCTTACATTTCCATGACTTATCATACTTATTCATAACAATAGTAATAAATAGTTTTCTTATCTATATTAAGACAAAAATCACTTAATAGTTTTCTTCTAACCAAATTTCTATTGATTTTTTCTTTTATATAACATGTCACTTTGTGTACAGAATTTTCTCATTGTACATTTTGATTTTTCTGTAAATATTATCATAAACACTCCTATATAATTTTTTTTTGGAGAGGTTTTTCGCTATAGGGCGCGTGCACTCACCAGATCGACAGAGAGAGACATGGAGACAGAAAGCGAGAAATCACCCCCCAGGGGGGATGGTCACGCTGCAATCCCTTCTCCTCCATTCTCCTCTCAAGATCTTGGGCATGCACGCACATGCGCCCGGCATGAGTTTTAAGCCATTGGGTCCAGGACTCGAACCGCAGTCGACTACGTGAGAGTCCAGCGACATAGCCATTATGCTAACTGCTGGTTCCTAACACTCCTATATAAATATTGAAAACAGTTCTAATATAAAACATTTGAATCTTGAATGGAATTTGATTGCTCTTATGTATCAATTTTTTGTGAAATTTTAATTTTAAGTATATGACAGAAGGATGAGTTATTTTTGATGTATCCATTTATATACCTCTGAAAGCATGTTTTTTTAATTTTTGTATGTGGCTAGTAATATTTTTGCCTTTAAATATTATAAAGTCTCTGTTGCAAATATTCACCTCTTTGTTATGTACCAGGAAAACTTTCTCAGAGTTTATGGATATTAACAGGCATGGCTGTGTTTCAATTATCATTATTATTATTATTTACAAAAATAAGTAAGGTTTCTCTTCATGTCTCAATTTTTTATTAATTTATTTATTTTGTAAAACTGAGGTAATTCCATTGGGTTGTCATAAAAGTCATGTTGCATTATTTCATAGAAATAAATAGAAATATGTCATGACTTTTCCAGCAACCCAGTATACTCTCAATGAATTAGAGTGGAATCCACCAGGTCGCATGATGGTGATGATGTAAGACTCTCAATGGCTGCCTGCATTTTGAGTATTGAGCCTGACAACTTGCTTTCTCACTTCCATTTCTATTTCTTTCTTTTACTTCTCTGGTGAGTGTACATGCCCTTTATCAAATTTAAAAAATAATAATGTTAAATCAAATTAAATAAATAATTCTTGAAACAATTAGTGATAGTCAATAGCATTGTTTTCTTGCAGTACCTATTCCTATTTTTAGAGTCAGCAGATACTCCTGGCTTCTGTTTCAGAACTAAGTTTGGTACCCACAAACACAGGAATTTATCCTTTTGGATCACAAACCATTTCTTTCTTTCATTGTTTTTCCTTTTTATTTTTAAAAGCAATCACTATTATGTTTAAAATTTGTTGTAGGGCATGTGTGCTTACCAAATAGAGACAGAGAGAGGGAAAGTGAGAGAATGAGCCACTAGGTCTCGGACTTGTACCACGATTGGTCATGTGGGAGTCCAGCATCTAAACAAACATGCCACTCGCTGGCCCCTATTGCCAGGGGGCACATGGATTCACTAGACAGAGATACAGAGAGAGTGAGGTAGTGAGACAGCACCACCTCCATGAAATAGTCATGCCACAATAACCTCTACACCATTTTTTCCCTCTTATCAGAATTTTGGACAACACATAAACCCTTTGTGTGTTTCAAAGCCATCTTATTTGGAACTCAAGTCACAATTTAGGTCATGTGGGATTCAGGCACATTAACTACCACTCCATAGGCTAGCCCTGTACCTCTATTTTTATTTCTTGTTTTACACACTTATATGCTTTTGCAATTCCTTCATAAAAGATAAGTAATATTTTTTCTTGGTATATTCTTACCTGAACATATATTAACTTTTACTAGTGATGAAATTCAAGTGGTTTCTACTGTTAAAATGTCTGCAATTGCATAATTGTTATGAAAGAATTCAAAATAAACTTATGCTTTATATATCAGAAAAATGGGAGCATGATTTCTTATAACTTTACATATTTCATATTTGATAGTACATTATTTCATTATGATAATTGCTTGATTTTTATATTTTGTATGAGAACATATTTTGATGTGCTCAGTTGTAAAGTTTATTAGACTGTTGAGTCCTCAATTTGTAAACTGTGATTCTTTTTCTTCGTGCAATACATATCAAAATGTAGTATTCTGATATTAGTCAACTTTTTGTACTGAATTGCACAGGTGTTTGAGTATGGTTTAAAAAGTTATAAAATATGGGAACCAGCAGTTAGCATAATGGCTATGTTGCTGATCTCCCATGTGGTCGACCACGGTTCACATCCCGGACCCGGTGGCTTAAAACTCACGCCGGGCACATGTGCGTGAGTGCCCAAGATCCCAAGAGGAGAATGGAGGAGAAG